CACACTAAGATTCTGTGTATTTTTGTGGACAGTTCCTTCTATTTATGTTTTCCCAGGGTTATCTGTATATAAAAATGATAATTGTTTCCACTATACTGTACAGTCTTACGAATAAAGAAACCTTTGCACAGAAAATTGTTGCATTGCCATCCTGTATAATTTAAATGGAATTTACTTCTGTGTGGACACACAGAGGCTTGCCTGGCCAGGTTTCAATTTAGTCAGCAAAAATCCACTAATTTCTTTTATATCTTAAATATATCTGCTCTGTGAGAAAGGTAAAAGTCTAAATCAAGTTATAGTTTATACATGAAAACACACATATTCATATTTAACATTCTTATTTATTATGACTGCATAATATTTAAGGCTTTAGATGTTCCATTTATCTCTGCTGTCAGCTTAATATCATGGCATTCTGAGTGAATTATCTGAGAAACCATTTTCCCACATCAAAACAAAACAACCAACCCCCCCCCCCCCAAATCTAAGGTCCCCTTTATTTGTTTGTTGATACATCTTCATGTACAAAATTTGGAACAGGAACCTCTAAGCTAACTCTATGTAGGATAGCGCCACCTGGTGGCCCCTCACTAAAATGAAACCAAAAAACCCACATACCCAAATTCAGAATTTAACGGTCCATAATTTTGTGTGGGTTGGTCTGCATTCTTCATTTATCACGGCTGGCCTTCTGATCAGTCAAATGTTTCTGTTAGACACTGCAGTTTCAGAACTGGTTTCAATCTCATGTAGAAACAATACTTTAGGAATGTAATATTAAAATTTGGGATGATAATCTTGTCCTTCCACAAAATACTCCTTTCATCGATTCATAACCAGCTAACAAATGTTGTGTGTTTGCATTTATTGAATGGCTTACACCAATACATAATCGTTTAGTTAAAGGACAGGCCCAGGACATGCTTTATTCCAGTGTTTTGAAATGAATGGCCACCATCTTTGTCAGAGAATGGGCAACTTGATATGAATTGGAATATGCATCGCTTCCACATATTGAAAGTCTGTAAGCAGCAATAAACAATTCACTGTATAACAACTATTCTGTTCCAAAATGAAATCAATTCCCAGATTAATTGGGCCATTAAAAACTGCATGATCAAATTAGGGAGATCCAGGTGTATTCTGGCTTTTTAACATGTTCAAAATACCCTTCCATGAGATTCTTGGACAAGTACTGGACTTCCTTGGTTTCTACTAACATAAAAATGCTTCATTACTTAATTAGGATTTTGCTTAATTTAAGCCATGGGAAGTAGCGGATAGTAATTATAGTTACAATATTTGATTGTACTTTGCAAACTGTAGTTTGGACACAATATTGTTAGAGTTTATTCAGTTGGAGATGTAATAGTAATTTAGTTAATGATATCCCACTTTTTATACATATTGTTGTCTTAGTTCCCATCAGTGACAGGTGGATTGTCTCAGACCTACATATTAAATGGACAACATACTCAAAGGTAAAAAAGAAAAAAAATTGAGAAGATCAGTTTGCCAAAGCCAAAACAAGATGTTTAGTTGTATATCAATATACTTTGGTGTGAGACTGACCTTTCCTTATTTGGGTAAGTTGTCTTACTTGGATAAACATGTTGCAACTGAATCAAACTGATGGAAGAAATGCAACCTGGGGGCAACTGGTAATTCAAGACGTGTGTGTGTACACCTATACCACAGTTGGGATCAGTCTTCTGTCAAATTATTTTTCTTGGCAACAATATTTATTTATTTAGAGAATTTATTTATTTAGACAAGACTGTCTATCTTACATACGCAACCACAGTACAATAACTGAGGCACCATAACAGATTCACAACACAACTACACCTATACTGGACTCAGCTAATGTCCTGATTCAGCATCTGGGGGAAGAGCCAGGTCTTCATAGCCTTCCAGAAGTCCAGGTTTGAGATCCTCCAGATTCTGGTGGGAGGCTGTTCCATAAGCCAGGTGCCATGACAGAGAAGTCATGTAGCAGACACCAGTTTGCCATTATCATCTTCTACAATGTCTGCATGAGCCAGTTAACTTTAGAAGGGCCTTGCAAAGACTGATTAACTATCCTCATTCACACCATATAAAACAGATACTGAAACATCCATAAAATGTATCTAGGATGATAATTGAATGGAATCAATAAACAGCATAACAATTTGTTAAAATCAGTATGTGTGTGTATATACTGTATAATTCCAAATCAATAACTAGGAGTTATGTACTAGTCATAGGTTGTCTTGAAATTTTGCATATGCAATGTATGCAATTAATTTTCTTACATCTGACTGGGGAATGAACGAATCCCCCATTCAAAGATAGATACCTATTCTTTTTGCCAAACCTGGGAGATGATCAGTCTACTCATGTTCTGAATTCCTCTGAATCATTTGCAGCAGTGAACACACGAATTTCAGGAGTTTCACTGCATGATCTTCTAGGTACAGATGGATCTAGAAATGTCTTTGACCATGTTCATTCATCAACTAGCAAGCAGTTCACATTACAAATTTAAAGCTTCAGGTTCTAAACTTCTGAAAAACATAACTGCCTACATTTCTTCTCTTTAATCTTTATGTGGGGGAGTTACCATTATTTAGCAGGTATTTGGTTTTTTTTGTCTGGGATATATTTAGCATAACCGTGATAAACCATCTACTTTTGATATTTGCTGACATTAACTGCATTTGGCTTCCAGTAGCTTACAATATACAATTTGTTCATATTGAGTCTATTGTAGATACTAGAAATCAAATATTTGATTTAGAAATCAATTTATAACTTTTAAGTCTTCCATTTATATATAGTTAGATGGTGAGTTGAAAACCCTCATCAATGCTATGCTGGGCGGGTAAGGCAATGATAGTTTTAGTCTGAAAGATCTGGAGGGCATCAGATTGCAAAAGACTGAAATAAAGCATAAAAATGAGGACTGAACCAGTGGAATGCCTTTTGAATGCATATTAGTACGATACTTAAAAAGTTCTAAGTTAGCTTTTGAATCAAATAGAATGAGTGCACCAATACAATGATCATCACTTTAATCAGTAATTCATAATTAATATTAATAATTAATCAGTAACACTTTATTTATGCTTCTGGATGTTCCTATCAAAAATTTTCCGATTACTCTTAAAAGTAGTAGCTGAGTTATATCTAATGATGTCATTTTATTGGTGAATATTACCTCCAGCAATTATATGTATCCTTCATGCTGTGTGACTTGCACATCAATTTGGAGAAATGCAGAATTGGCTGTGTGTGAGGATGATGTAGGGCAAAGAATGGCTGTAAACTAAGTGTAGCCGAGTGCAAATAAAACTCACAGGGCTGGACATAGCCTATGATTAGTCTACTCAAATCTAGTATTAGCTATTTGTAATTTTTGGTGAAATACATTCACATACATCCAGATAACATAACTTAGAAAGATGAAGTTAAGGAGATATACATAAAAGAATAAAGTTCTAGTCATGTGTAGATTAGGAAGTAATGAAACGTCTCAAAATGATTATCAACCGTGGCAAAGGTTAATACTCCTTACAATTATTTATTTCGGTAGCTTAATCAAGGATGTATTTGTTTCCTGCTTTCCTTCCAAACACGGAAGAACTTTTGCTCTCAGAAGTGGACTTATGGTCTCAATTATCCATACTAAATGAAAGAGGAAGAGCAAAGTAATTTTAATAGCAGAGGTTTCTTTGGTTATACTCAGAACAGTGTTTAACCCTTTAAAGAACATTTTTAAATAAGAAAAACACAGAACAAAGCAGCATTTATTGGGGCCATGTCTTAGGTACAAGTTGGAGATACTGCACATTTTTTACCCGTGTAAAAAAATAAAATCACTTTCTCCCAAGGCTATCTGCCCATCTCACATGTTCCAGCAGGGAAGGCACACTCCGGGTCCAAAAATGTCCATAAAAGTTTTGAAGTTCACTTATATTTTGTGGCAGTTAAGACCTTGCTAATAACCTAAGTAAACTGTATCAAGAACATGTTATCTTCTAGAGCACAATAATTTACTAAGCTCTTATAAAGAGCAAAGAAAAAACAACATTATACAAACATAATGGGTATATGGCTACTTCACATAACTCTATTTGCAGCACATCTCAGTGAAAAATATTAGTATTACTTTGACTACTGTCTTCACTTTCTAAACTTTGATTTTTGTCTGAAGAAGGGCTTCTGCCATCCTTTTTGGTTGCTTGAGATTTTTTTCTTCCACACGAATCCATGCCATTTCCTTTTTCTTTCTCCTCAGAAGGAGAACTCTTGGAGTGATTCTTGTTTTCTAATGCAAACTTCAAAGAGCTGTAAAATCTAGAGAGAGACAAAGGTGTAAATATATTTCAGGTTGGCAAGTCAATTAATTGGCTCTCATAAGACAGAACCTGCAGCTCAGGAACACTAGTAACAATCTAAGAATGCAAAACCACAGTTGAATAACAGTTTTTTTCAACCGATTTGTGAGATGCTAAAATAGCACAGCATTTATTAAATTTCTATCATACTGCAATCATAAGACTCTTGGCAGGACAGAAAAACAACCATAAAACATCTACAGTATAATAAATAAAACCTCCAGAGTAAAAAAAGACTAATAATCAAAGATCAAAAGCAACCAACATATGTCCTAAAAATAGAGCAGTGCACAAAAAGAAAATTCACAAGATGGCATCATCTTAATTAAATCTATGCAAGAAGATAGAGTATAGTTTAATATGGTACTTACATGATAAATGTAAAGAAGTAGAACTAGTTTAATGGGGCTTTTTGTGCTATGCTGTTATCCTAAAAATTGGGAGTCTAGCAGAGATCAAACCTTACCAAAGTGACTCTCACAAAGGTTACTCATTAAACCGATCCACCCTTACTCAGGAGAAAAACCCATTGAATAATCTGAATTCCTTCCAAATCACCCTGTGCAGATCCATATAGTAAACAAGCCAAGCCAGGCCAGGCCAGGCCAGGCCAGG